ATTTTCCCTTCTTACTTTCTCTAAATGTTTCTTCAAAACCAAGGCTAAGGGCTGATGGCAGAGAACAGGTCTCCAAGCTTTAAATTCTGCCTGTGCAACAGCTATCCCTCTGACTGGTTCTCATACAAATTCCTCTACTGCTGTTTGCTGAGCAGAATGAGCCTCCTGACCCAAATACGTGCGCTATTTGTAAGCCCTCTCAAAGGGCACAGAAGAACCGTGATGTCCCCTGCAAACACTTTTGACAGAAACTAAGTGTCTGTGAGTAGATCTCAAAAGTAGGCTGTTTCTACTGTTGCTCTTCTGGGGTGAAGAGACCCTCTGGCCTGAGGAAAACTTGCTACCTTGAAGCACTTTGAACCTTCTTGTCAGTGCTCTTCAGCCAATGGTTCAGGCTGCCCGAAGTAGGGGCATGCATTGGGAGCAGCAATCTCCAGATGGGACATGATGCTTATCTCAGTCCTTGCTGTTGGCCCAGAGAAAGGGTACTGGTCATCACCTGTCCTCTGGGGTAGTAGAGGAAGAGTCTTCCAATTTCTTTAGTAAGGCTTTCATTCCTGTACTCCCTCATCCCAAAGAAGAGCAAACAGCAAAGTCTAGTTTTCAGATTTCTCAAGAAATTTCTCCCTTGCTCTGGGTTTTGGATGGCGAACTTTTTCTGAGCAATCCTTCCGCTACTGGTTAGTTGTCTACACATAGGGCCTTGCCTTCCATGTCTGTCCATATTTGCTTTTCCTGGTCCATGGGCTTCGCTGTTCATTTAGAGTCCTGCTGCTTGGCCTTTCACGGCCCTGAGGTTACTTACTGAAAGCCCAACTGTCAGAGCTGCTCTCCAAAGGGGAGAAGGCCTCAATGTACATTCCCATCTGTACAATGACCGAGCTGAAGTCACGCATAGCAGAAAGCTGCCAGGGATGTTCATGTAGTACAACAACCATTTCCCAGACTTGTGTTTCCTTTTGCACAACCCACAGAATTTGTAGGAGCCATGCTGGACTCAAGGTTGGCAAAAAATAGGGTTTTCCTCAGTGATTCACGTTATTTCATTCATTTGACCATGTCTAAGACTTGGTGAAGTATTTGCTGCAATCTGCTGGTTTCCATAGTAGCTCATATTTGAGTGACTATGTGCATACTTATACCTCTGATCTCTTCAGGTGCAGTTAAGTATGGCTAAACAGACTAGAGATGAGGTACTGGTCATCTCTGCTTTTGTTTCCAGATCCTCAGTACACCTGCTAGAGTAGAGTACTGTTTTATCCAGTGCCACTTTCAAAGACTCTGACCGATGCATCCATGTTGGGCTGGGGGCATGTTTGGGATCTCTTCATACCCTGCAGAGGCTTTCGCACGCACGTGCGCTAGAACTCAACTGGCCTGCAGAAGACTCCTGCCTCTTTGGGACACCTACCTCTCGGCTATGGTAGTGTCCATCAGGATGTATGTAGTGTATAAAGAGACAAAGGAGAGTCCCCGGCCCCTTGCATCTGAAGGCAATGCACATCTAGGTCTAATGTGGTGTGCAGCGGATCAGCTAAGAGGAAAGGTCCATCACTTACTAGTAGGATTCTGTTCTAGGTTAAGAGTTTCTAGAATGGGGAGTTTCCCCTTATAGACCTGGTGCAAATAGTCCTGCTCTGGGGGTGGAGCAAGCCCAACATCTGTGGCAGAAGCATTTCTGACCTTGGAGAACAACCAGTCTTATCCCTTGTCTCCCCTTCCACTAATTCCTGAAAAGATAAGTCAGGACAGCTCAAGAAATTACACCTTCTTCATGGCTGTGTTATTTCTGCCATCCATCCTGATGCCTTCGTCCAAGCACCTCTACTGCTTCTAAACCCCTCCAGTATCATTTTATAGAACCAAGACCTAACCCTTGGACTTGGCTTTCCATGCGTTTTGGGCTGCTTAGTGTCTTCAAAACACTCTGGACTCTTGATGGGCTCTGTTAGAGCTCCTCTGGCTGCTCTATCTACTTATTGCCTGTCTCCTGAGGGTCTGGTTTTTTGCAATTTTTTTCCTCCCATCCAGCAGCATGTAGATAACTGTCTCTGTTAAAACAGCATTTTTTTCGTAGCCATGACCTTGGCTTGCAGGGTGGTTGGAATTCAGGCTTTTTATGAAGAAAAGGCTGTGGAAAGCCTGCCACTGAAGAATTTTTTCTCAGGCCGCATCTTTTGGTTTAAAAAAAAATGGCTTGGGGTTTTCACGTGAATCAATTTATATGCTTAACAGTAGTTTAGCAAAACTTCATGACTCTCCTGGGGAAGCTAGACTCCACACACACTACATGTTCTTAAGGCTCTGTTCTTTTATCTTCCCAGAACAAAGCCATTTTGTAAACCATTGAGGCTCTTTGTGGCTTTTGGTGATAAGTCTAAAGGGCAGGCTCTTTCCTCTCAAAGACTCGTTTTAAATGGGTTACTGACTGCATTAAGATTTCCTGCTCGTTAAATAAATTACCTCTTCCCTCTTGAGGCAGGGCATGGTCTGCTAATGCTTAGACAGAATCAGTTGCTTACTTTAGGGGAGTCTGAGACTTGTAGGGCTTCTCCTTGGAGTGTCGCTCATATGTTTGAGTCGTGACCTTTTTTGGGACTGTTAAATCAGATGCACAATTTGGCATGTTTAATAAGGAAGTTGGAAGTAGTGTTGCTGAGCAGGTCATCACTGGCATCCCCCGCGTGGACAAACCTATAGAGAAGAAAAGGCAAATTGAGGGGTACCTTTTGGTTCACACATTCCTATGGCTGTCACCTTTCTCTGCTGATGCAGAGTCCCTTCCTGAATGATGTGTACCGGTGAAGGAAGGCATGCACAGCCATGAGTGCTGCTGGCAGCAACATTGCTTTTCTGTGTGCACGGCACGTGTACCCACCATGACATCCATGCAGACTAAAGTAATCTCTCTCTTATTTGAATGCTTTTGACCATCCTCAAAGTGATGGATCCACAAAGCAATGGATTTTCTAAAGAAAATAAAATTGTAGGTGGATTTTAGAAGCTGCGATGGTGTCATTTGTTGAAAATGTAGAAAGAGGTTCTGTTCAAGTATGCAGATGTGATGGCCAACTTGAAGGTCTTGCATTGACACTTATGCGGGTCTTTAGTTACAGAGGAGAAGAAGTCTTTGAAGCGGACATTTCAGCAGATCCAAGAGGAAGAAGATGATGATTACCCTGGGAGCTACTCACCCCAGGACCCTACTGCTGGACCATTGCTGGTATGTCTGGAGGGCTGAGGCTGGAGAATTGTGAAAGTGACCTCTGCAAAGATGTATCCACAAGGTGGAGCCATTAACAAGTACAATCTAGTTAAGGGAGGCATTCAATTAGGCTTGGGAAGTCATTGTGGAATTGAATAAATTCCTGTCCTAAAACTATTAGGTCAGATCTTCTTGGGTAGACAAAAGGCAGTACGGCATCCAGGTGTGAAAGGCTTTTTAATATTTTTAAAGCTTGAAGTCAAACCTTGGGCAGACCTCTTGGTTCAACCAAGATCCTTATGATACTGCCAGTACAACAAAATAAGAGACTAATTAAAGGAATGTATTTAAAAAAAAAAAGAGCAAGTGGTTTGTGAACTCTCAAGTAGTGTATTTTGTCTTAAGAATGTTCACTCTAGATTTTGGGGAGAATTTAGTTCAACAAGAAAAGCTAACGGGTAGTTTTGTGTACCCTGTGTTTGTCAAAGCTCGGTGTCACGTGGGTTTATAAGAAGATGAATGCTAAAGTCACTTTAGAAGACTCTCACCTTCATTTGAGAGACTGGGTCACTGGTGTTTAGTGATGGGAAGAGAATGGCATGGAATAAACGTGAGCAAAACCCTCCTCCTTAAAGGCTACAAATTGGCCATGTATTAAAGCTGTGATTATTTGAAAGAGTTGAAAGTTTAGTAAACCATCTGCCAAATGGATAGTGTCTGTTCAAAAATTGACATGAGCTAAGAAAATAAAAACTGGCACCTTTAGGTACCTTTATAGCTTTTGTTTCTCTTGATAATACCTGCTTTACATGTCAGTTACTAGAAATCATGGATGTCTTTTAACCCTTCAAGCCATATGAAGCATTGAAAGGGAGAGGGTTTTTTTCCCTTCAGAAATCTGTACATTTTGAATGGAAATTCTGTGTATATACCTCAATAAAACCCCATCTAATTTAAACTAGAGATTAAATGTTGGTGTTGTTGTAAGAATAATAATAAAAAAACTAGGGCTGGCAGGCATCTGAGGAGGTTATCTAGTTCACCCCCTGCTGCAGGCGGAGATAATTCTGTTTCAGCCGTTCCAGACAAATATTTGTCTAACCTGCTCTTAAACTTCCAGGGACAGAGATTCCATAACCTCTGTGTAATCGGTTCTAGTGCTTAACCATCCTCCAAGTCAAAAGCTCTTTCCATTATCCAGTCTTAATCTCCCCTGCTGCAGTTTAAGCCTGTTGCTTCTTGCCCTGTTTCCTGTGGATTTTAAAGCACAATTGATTGCCATCCTCTTTTAACACCATTTCTGTGTAGTTATCAGATTCCTCCCTCAGCCTTCTCTTCTCTAAACGAAATAATCCCTGTTCTTCTAACCTTTCTTCGTAGGTCATATTTTCTAGACCTCTTTTCATGTGTGTTGGTCTCCTCTGAGTCTGTCCAGTTTGTCTAATTTTTTGAGGTATCAACAGAAGTAACAATTGTATCACTATCAAAGGATACAGATGCACGCTGTGTCAATGTGAGTGTTACTTCTAGTGATTTATGTGACAATACATATGTAGCAAAAATGCCCCCATTTTAACCTTACTTCAGTCAGGGTCAGTGTTAGGGCGATTTTAGCTAACTTGCAAGGCAGGAACCTGCAGACCTAACAGATGGTGACAGCTGCTGTGCGCTTTGGAGCAGCAGCAGGGTCCCTCCTCCCCACTCAGTGCCTAACATGTCCACATGCTTAGTGTGGTGAGCAAAAATGGATGCTTTACTCCAGATCAGGTTTCAGCAGGGCTCAAGAGTGGAAGAATGACTTCCTGTAAGTTGGGTTATAATGCTTTTGTTAATAGCCTTTTCGCAACAGTATTTTATTCAGTTTGCAAGGCACTGTAACCTCAACAGCCTTCCCTGCAGATCTGCAGCCTGGTCATTTCCCATTTTTCATTTAGTCATTTGATAGCTGCTTCTGAAGAGTAGTGTTTTGCCTGTGTCCTTGTTGGATTTCATCCTATTTTATTTCCAGTTTCTCAAGGTCCTCTTGCATCCTAATCCTGTCCTCCAAGTTGCCACTTAACCCACTTACTTGGTGTCACCCACAGGTTTCATGAGTTTATACACAAGTCCATTAACAAGTATATTGACCAGTATTGGACCCAGCACAGCCCCCTTGGGGAAACCCACTTGATTACCTCCTCCCATTTTGACTTCAAACTTGATTACTATTCTTTGAGCACTGTTACTTGGACAGTTATTTATCCACGGTTGATAGTGGTCTCATCTGGACCGTGCTACCTGAGCGTACTTATGAGAACATCATCAACAACGGTGTCAAAGAGAAGTGTGATCTATCTTGCCCATTTCCATAACTGCCCCAGCTCCTTTCTGTCCCCCTTCCATAAGGATGGTTACCCTGCCATAGAAAGAATTAAGTTGATTAGGCACTATACCTATGTGCAAGATAAGCCTCCTAACTGTATATGTTTGTATTCTTCCTGCCTGTCTTTCCTTCTCCCTCTTTGAACTCTTTTTAATGCTTCTTTCTCCCAGATTCCTTTTCTTGCTAGGTTAGTGGGAACACCTTGGGTTTACGTTTGATTGCACTAATGACCTTTTTTCTGCGGATGTGTCTTGCTGGAAGTTGCAAAGAACTAAATGAAACTGGCAGACTGGGATTGATGGAATACAATGTAGTCCACTTAATTATGATAGACTCTCGAAGAACCAGTTTAGCCAGAGGGGAATGGTAATGGCAGCTGCTCAATCAGGAGAGAGTGCTCCATAAAGTCAGCATTTAGCTGGTGCCAAGTGACTAAGTGGTGCTTAGCCAGGTGTCAGGTATGAAATTCCAAAAGTGTCTTAAAAGCAGATGTGGCCTACAGATCCCAGAGATTCGATTAAAAACTGCCCTGTCCACATTGTCTCAAGCTGTGCATACACAGTTGAATAAAAAGATGCCTGGAAGCTTGCTTCTCAGTCAAGGCAGGATAAAGGAACAATCCTTAAAGGAAGAATAGTACGATTAAAAGAAATAAAACCATACCCAGAGGTGAAATGCATAGAAAAATTCTATTTTGTTAATAGTATAGTGTTAATTCTTACAGTCTTGTCTTAAATGGTTTTAATTGGATGTGGGACCATCCACTGCGGTGTCCCAATTAAGATGATTTGAGTGTGTTTATATGAAAGTCAATATATCTGTGCTATTTTAGAGTTTTAGTAGTGCTATATACAGTTAGTTATTGCAGCATTAAGGGGGAAAAAAAAGAAGTAGGACAGTGAAGAGCACTTCATAAAAAGTAAATAATTTCAGCACATAATGCCATGACAGCATCTAAAGCAAATTACATAGCACTAGTAGTATTTAAAACGTGGCTGCAGTGCAGTTATTTGGTGCTCCATTTAAAACACAGAACAATAGGCTGCTTTTATCTTTCTATCCTGCAGACTGAGGACTTGATCAAAGCCCTTCAGGATCTGGAAAATGCAGCATCAGGAGATGCAACAGTACGGCAGAAAATTGCTTCGTTGCCACAGGAAGTTCAAGATGTGTCGCTACTGGAGAAGATTACAGGTAAGAAGATAGAGTGCAGTAACCATCAAGTACTGGCTGGATACATTTCGTATGCTTTTGGGGTGTTAGTCTTAAAGTTCCTGATGGTTTACAGGTAAAATTTTCTGGCATGTAATTGAAAGGAAAGGTGCAAGTCTCTGATCCATTCCCTTGGACCAAAGCAAGCTATGCATTTCCAAGAGCCTTTAATTGCTGTCTCTCAAATAGCTTTTAGCAGTCTCATTTTGCAATACTGTAAAGAAACAAGAGCCAGAACTTTTCATACTTGGTTCCCTAAAGTTGAGCATCTTAATTATGCATATTTGGGTATTTTAATAAATGGCCTGATTTTTTTCAGAGGTACTGAGCACCCACAGCTCCCTTTGCAACAGGAACAGAAGCTCAGCACTTCTGGAAACCTGATCATTTTTATATAGGTGCTTGACTTTATGCAACCATGTTTGAAAATGTTGTCATAAGAAACTGGGAGGACATGCAGACAGAACTGATTTGACTCTTGTTCTTGTAAGTATTCTAATTTTAATTTAGACTTCTTTGCGAAGTATCGCTTATCGGCTCTTAAGAGTGTGGAGTCACTGGCCGCACTACACATGCAGGCACTGACTGTGCAGTAAATTTACTACCTGCATATGGAGATAGATTTATTTTGCAGTAAAGTCAAAAAGCATTAATTGCACATGTAGATGTGCCCACTCTGTCCAGCTGTGGGAAGGACAGGTGTGCGTTTATAGGCAAGCTTGTATTCAGCATATTGATGAATATTCATAGATCAAAAATGCATGAAGCAGTGCACATCTTGCATAAATGCCAGTACCCCATGATGTAGGAAACTAAATTCTGTAGATGCAAGTTAATACTTTGGCGTAATTTAACAGATCATACAGGCTGTTGTTATAGCTCTTCTGTTGCCAGATTTGCAAAAACAAAAAATATGAACTCTTCTCTGTGTTAAAGTGTTCCTTCATCCTCAGGTTCTGTAGAGTCCTAGCCATTTGCAGGCACCTCTGAAATGTTTCTTGATTAGGACTCCATTTCTTTACAAAACCTGGTAAACACTTATGAATGAGTGATTGTGCATGCAGTTGGTGAATCAGCCCCTTTCTGTCACTGAATAAAAGGGGTTTAACTGAGTCATGTAAACTATTTACCACCTTTGCACCTAGACAAAGAGGCAGCAGAACGTCTTTCGAAGACTGTGGATGAAGCATGTTTGTTACTAGCAGAATACAATGGGCGACTGGCGGCAGAGCTGGAAGATCGGCGCCAGCTGGCACGCATGCTGATTGAATACACGCAGAACCAGAAGGATGTATTGACAGAGAAAGAGAAAAAGCTAGAAGTGAGTACTGCTCTGAGCAATGCTAGACACTTTACCCTGTCACCGAACATGTGCTTGACTTCAAGCTAAGAGGTTTTTAAGCGAGCACGTGGTTCTAGCACGTATATTAGTGAGTTATCAATGATTTTGTTTTCTATGGGGAAGAAAACAGCTGTTAAATATTTTTGTTAAGGTATGAACCACTCAACTCAGCTGTCCAGTCTGTCACGCATTGCCTTGAGAAACATGACAGCAAATGGAAAAAGAAGGCCTAGAATCTGCATTTGTTTGAGTGCTTTTATTTGACAGATGTTTCTGGTTTGGGGTCCAGACTCATGTTGGTCTTCTGTTTCTGGGTGAAATCCCTAACCCCACAAAAGTCAAGTGGCTATGCACTTCTCTCTGCAAGTAAATGATGCTTTTTTTAATATGTTGTCTATTGTTGGGTGCCCTTCATTTGACTTCTAGGTCTTAATTCTTGAGAACTTGTCAGATATGTCTTAGTGCCTGCCAACCTACCCATCTTAGGTTTAAAAAAAAAAAAAAAAAAAAGTAGCATTTTTAATTCCTTTACCCATGAATGAAAATTTGTGGTGGAAACGACAGCTCAGATTTCATGCCAAAGCCAGTTTGAACTTGGAGGGCAAGAAACTGCTGTAAAAGTGAGACTGTTCTGACTGGAATTCAGCAGTGACCAGAGCCCTAGAGCACATACATGGGCAACAGCAGACAGTCAATTTATCTGAAATGTTCTTTTTGTGGAGAAAATGTTTTCAGTACAATTCCCTGGGACTAATACGGGAGTTTAATTAACGATTCTGGTTGTATGTCACTCTGCCATCTGTTGAACTGCCCCTCAGCGACACATTAAGGACTTCCTCTACACTGTTGGCTGCTGCTGATTATGAACAGCTGCTGTTGGGTGGGACATGAGTTGCAGTAGAGGACAAAGTCTTCGAGAAGGAGACCCAAATGTAGAACAGTTCAGTGCTTTGCCCTCATCACAGCTTGTCTTCTAGAATTATGGGCGGTACCATTTAAGTTGAACTGCATTTTGACCACAGATCCTTGTTCCATGTCTGTACATGCTAACTTGTGAAAGTCTTTGGATGACAGTATATGCAATCACAAGTTAAGGTCAGCTAGAAGAATTAGAATTGCTGCATTCAAAACTATCAGCTGCTGGATAGTTGCATCATTTGCTAGCTCATTAGCTTCAGGAGATTAAAGCCTGAGAGTTGAGTTTATAGTGGTTTTCTTGTGATTTTTTTTTTTTTTTTTTTAATTATAAAAACAGTTTCACATAGGAGTTTGAAAGGTGCTATAAAAATCCTCTTTGGTATGCGATGACTTTGTCATCAAGTAAGGCTCATGGAAACCACGTATCATAGTCTTGTTTTTTCATCTTCAGTGCTACAGTTAACTCCAGTGAGTAGCTTGGTGTACGTTGCTGCCTTTTTGTGTTACTTAAATGAAAAGCCAAGGACCTTCCTAATGGGCTCCACAGCCTGTGTTTTAAAACCTGTCCATTTGAACAAGGCTGAAGCTTTGCAATGCTCATTTGGAAACTTGGGCAGTTGCAACTTCAGATTAAAGCGTATGATAAACAGCCAATGTCCTTTATAATTTAGGCTTATCTTTTTTTAAGTGCACTTCTGGCAAGGCACCTTATTTGAAACTTAAAGCTGGTATAGACAAGAGTATTGACAACTAAGGCCTCAATCCTTTGAGCACTGAAGCAGTTGTGCAGCTTTTATTCACAGCACTAACCTTCTTGACTTCAGTGGAACTAATTGTGCTTAATTTCATACATATGCCCAAGTCTCTAAAGCATCAGAGGTAAAACTTTATGAATTTTTTTTAATGGGTTGAATTCTTTGTCACTTCAAAGCAAGGTGTTGATGTTGAAAAAGCACTGGGAAATCTTGCAAAGTAAATATTTATAAATACGAAAGAATAAAGTCGGGCACCTCTGAAGATTTCACTTTTAAGTGCCTAACTGATATAGGAAGGAGCATGAGTTGCACCTGTTTCAAGCTGCAATCTTTAATGAAAGAATATACTGAAGCATTTCAGCTTTCCTGACTTGAAGTTCAGTATGTTGAAAGATGGTATTATTTGTATAAATGTAGCATGGACTATCTGTTTGTCAATTCTGCATTTGGGTTTGATGTTCTCACAATAAGGGGTAGATGAGGCCTTGGATTTCACTTTGTAGCAGTAATAGACACCTTAAGTGGGGAATCTCTTATCAGAAAATCAGTAAACATTAACAGCAATTAAAAAAAAAAAAACAATTAAAGAAGCAAGTGCAAAACACCCACTCTAGCTATTTGAAATTATAAACATGAAAAATAAAGCACTAGCAACATGATTTGCATTCAGCCTGTGCTGATATTTCTCATTGATATGACATGCTTTATTGTTACCACTTTCCAAAACTCTGGAACTGCTGGCTGTAAATGTTCCATCATCAAATATAAATCCCTTTGCTTTCAGATGAGATGTATTAAAAAAAAAAAAAAAAAAAAGTCTATGTTTTAGGGTAGTCTGTCTACTTCAGTTGCTTCACTGGTTTAGCTAAGGCTGATGGTACAGGAAAAAATCAGGCTTCTTGTTGGCAGTATGAATGAGGCCTTTATTTTGTTGACAAGTGTAATACCAGGTCAAAATGTATATCTCTTTGCATCTTCGTGGCACTTGATTTGCTCAAGAGGGGAAATTTTTCACTGAGATAGTAATGAAAATAGTTAATCTACAGCTCTGGGAAAGCGGCTTTTGCTGTCTAAACAGTAGGGTTCTTATTTAATTTAAAGAGCCCAATAATACAATCACTCATCAGCTATGGCAAATTCTGCAAACAGACATTATTTACATGGATTGAGAGTATTTACTTACATTTGGCTGTAACTCAGGAGATTTTGAAATAACATAACTCAAGGGCAACTGTTGCCGGGTGTATAAAAGTCATTCATCAAGGCATGATACTTTGTAGAACGTGAGCTTGGACAATAGGCTACAGTTCAGATGTGAGGCGAGTTGAAGATTTACCTGGACAAGAATCCAAACATTCCTGTAGTACTAAGCAAGTCTCAAAGTTAGGGATAAAAAATATAGGAACTATGGTCTGGGGCACTATTGCCTTTAAAAACCCCCAAAAAACACCAGGAACCTATGTAGGAGTCGGGTTTGAAAAGAATAGCAATTCCCAATGCAACACTGTGCTTAAAATGGATCTATAAACAGTGGACTATGGAGTAGAGCAAGAAAATGGTGTCGCCTTTTGTATGGTATTGGTGAAACACCTCGTGGAAGACTTCTTTGTCAGTGTAGCCACTTCAAAAGCAGTGTGGAAGAATTGGAAGCAGTTAAACTACAAAAGAAATTAAAGGTCTGAAATAGCTGCCTGCCTTGAGGCTGCCTAGAGAATATAGCAGTGTTTAGGACTGGAAAGCCAAGATGAACCACTGAAGCTGACTACAAGCTCTCCCCCGACCTCAGTACATGCTGGGCAGAGTAATGAGGTTCTGGGCTGGGCCTTGCAAACAGTTTTTTAACAACTGAAGACCATAGGACTGAGTAAGATGAGAAAAGAAAACAACAGCAACTTCATCAGTAGGTATCTTCCATTGACCCACTGTTGGGTGGGGATGTGGATGGGCATAAGCGTAGGAGAGATGTTAGTGAATTAATATTGCAGCGAAACAAGGACGCAGCGTGCCCTGGAGAACCGGGGCTCGCTAACTGTTTTTGTAGTACCGAGGCGCAACAGCATCTTGTTGGCACTTCTCGGTGTTTATGAAGCCTAAGGCTAGGAACAAACATTTTATTTGTCCCTGGACAAATTGTGCTTGTGTTTTTCTTGGAATAGAAATATCTCAGGATTGACATGTACACACTGTGCCCTTCTAATCAGGATTTAGATTGGCTACCCCGGGATCGCATTTATTAAATCATTCTGTGATGTTGCAGGATTAACTATTCGCACTCCTTATCCCGTGAACTTTTTTAGGATTTATCCCAGGACAAGAATGTCTGAACAGTTGTGTTTTGTCCCAGGATAAAATGGTTCATCCTGGGACAAATGCAATGTCTCTTGATGGCCTAAGTGTTACGAGTGAAATAGCAACACAGTGTAAGCCACTTAACGTGCTAGCAAGCAAGGCAGGCGCACATTTGCCAAATCCCATTGTTTTCAATACTAAGGGTGCCACTTAAGCCCATTTTAATCCTGACTGCTGTTTTATGAAGGAAAAGTCTGCTCAATTTCTCAACTCTTGTGACTGCTGGATACACAGAGCTTGGTGCTCAGCCCCTGCATAGCTGGTGGCTCCTCATTAAGCCTGAACTTGGAAAAATTGGCAGATTAGTCCATTTTAGGTCACTGAGGGCAGTTGAGAAGGGCTAGAAGGATTTACCTCCCATTCCATCTTACTGCCACACAAGCTCTCTATATACAGCTTAGACTGTACTTCAAAAAAGTACAACTCTAGAAGTCATAGAGTGCTTATTGCCATATAATCATGTTGCCATATTTTAGGTGAGGTGCAGTGCAGTGTTGCCCTTCTCCGTAGCATAAACAATGTTTGACTAAAGCTGAATGACTGGAAATCTGCTTGTGACCTAAGTCACAACTAGAGCACAACTATTCTTGAACTAGAATAGATGGCACTTAGCATGGAGGGATTGAATCCAGCAGATAATGTAAAATGTATTATTTCTACCATTGGTTGCACCGACTGACCATCTGGGCAGATGATGGTACTGCTTGAACATCAATCTGGTGTGGCCGGCAGACAGATACCTCTGCATGGAGCAGGGAAGTCCTCAGGGTGCAGGAATAATGTGTTCATGACTAGAAGTGTTACATGGAGTAACTTAACCTGACCCTCCAGCGGGGAGCTGAGCAAGAAGAGCTACCGTTGTAGGGCCTGAAGTGCAACCAAGAGCAAAAACATCGTGTCCGGTAAATTGTAGTGAACAACACAGTGAGGACAGGAAGTGGGGCTGCTTATTTGAAG